CTACTGAATGAAAAATAGGACAAAAATAAAGAAATCAAAGACTTTCTAGAATTCAATGAAAATGAATACACAGCATGCGGAATCTTAGGGGACACAATGAAAGTCGTTCATTGTTCATAATTCATAGCACTAAATATTTACATTGAAAAAATTGGAGAGATCTCATACTAGCAACATAATAGCACACCTAAAAGTTCTAGAATAAAAAGAAGCAAGCTTACCTAAGAGGAGCAGATGTCAAAAAATAAGGAAACCGAAGGTTGAACCCAACAAAATACTAAGAATCAATGAAACAAAGAATGGTTCTTTGAGAAAATCAACAAGATAAACAAACCCAAAAAACAGAGAAAGGATGTCCAAATTAAAATAAAAAACAAAAAGGGGGACATAACAATAGACACAAAGGAAATCCAGAGAATCATAAGGACATATTTTAAAAACCTGTACTCCACAAAATTGGAAACTTTAAAAGAAATGGATACTTTTCTCAATAGGTACTACTTACCAAAGTTAAATCAAGATCAGATAAACAATTTAAATAGACCTATAACCCCTAGTGAAGCAGAAGCAATCATTAAAATCTCTCACTTGCCCCCCCCCAAAAAAAGCCCAGGACGAGATGTTTTAGCAGAGTCCAACCAGACATTTAAAGAAGAGTTAACACCAATACTCCTCAAATTATTTCACAAAATAGGAACAGAAAAAACATTATCCAATTCTTTTTATGATGCCACAGTTACCCTGATGTCTAAACCACATACTCAACAAAGAAAATTACAGACCAGTTTCCCTTATCAACATAGAAGCAAAAATACTCAATAAAATACTTGCAAACCGAATCCAAGAGCACATTAAAAAGACCATTCACCATGATCAAGAAGGCTTTATCTTAGAGATGCAGGGATTTGCACACACATACAAAAATCAGTCAGTGCCATCCACCATATAAGCAAACTTAAAGACACAAACCACATGATCTTCTCATTAGATGCAGAAAAGGCTCTTGACAAAATCAAGCACCCATTCATGATAAAAGTCCTGAAGAGATTCATATAGAAGAGACAAACATATACATAAGCATAATAAAGATAAAGGTTAGCCTATAGCTAACATCAAAACAAATGGGGGGAAACTCAAAGCAATCCCACCACAAGATAGTTGTTCATTTTCTCTGTATCTATTCAATATAGACTTGAAGTTCTAGCTAGGGCAATAAGATGACTGAAGGAGATCCAGGGGATACAAATTGAAAAGGAAGAAGTCAAAGTATCATAACTTGCAGACGATGTGACAATAAACATAGGCAACTCCAAAAAATGCCATTAGGGAACGGACAGCTGATAAATAAAGTAAGGAATAGGCAAACTTTTCTTTCTTGAGTCTCTAAATGGAAAGAGATCACTATGCACACCATATCTACTCTATAGACATTGCTTTACTAGACAATTTCTGGCACAATATTCCAGACATAGTAATTCCAGGGATAAGGAACTGAAAACGAAAAGGATGTGAAAATGTGTTTGTTGATGAGGCCAGGACTGAATCCAGGCTTTGCTGGTAACATGTCTCCATAGAACACAAGATCACAACATGACTGCTGCTGGCATTTGTGGCTGTTAGAACAGAACAGTCTAGAACTCAGTCAGGCATTGTCCCACCACCACACGAGTTTATGAGGTTTTGCTCACTCACCACCCATTATACGATACAGAAAAGCCAACTTTATTTAAATCTTAGAAAGACACTACAATGTTAAGTGTTGCATTACTTAAAACAAAATAAACAGCAGTCATTTAAAAATTGGTCTAATGCCAGTAATAAACATATACGTGTTGTGTAAAACTTACAAAGACGTGTCTTAAGAATAGTTTGCAACAGTTTAGATGATATTGTGGCCTTGAAGTAATGTAACTGAGGCCTTATCGTGTTAGGGAATAATAAGGCATTCAAACGCCTGCTAACAGAAAATGATGCTGAATTTTACCTTGAGTTCTACCCACACTTTCAAGACCAACCAGTCCAAATTCAGCCTGTGTTCTTATCTATCCTGCAGTCTTCGAATCTGATCAGCACATTCTGTAACCTATATACACACAAATGTCAGTCAACTCTATTTTTTTTGTCTGCTAATCTTATCATTTCATTGAGTTAAATATAAGCTCCCAGAGAACAAACTGTCCCTACAATATCTAAACAGTGCTAGGTCTTCGGATGCTTTCACTGACTTTATTAGTACTAACTACTTCTTGATCTGCAGAACTTGGAAGTCCATCAAATAACATTTCTATGAAACAGTAAAACATGGAGCAGAGATGGCAGATGATGTGGGACTGTTAAAGCTGATTACCAGGTTGGGGAGATGGTTCAGTGGGGAAAGTGCTTGCCCCTCAAGCATGAGGACCCGAGTTTGATCCCCAGCACCCACACAAAGCCGGATGCCTGTAGGTCCATACATAATCCTAGTGCTAGAGAAGCAGTGAGAGTCAGTCCAGCCAAATCAACATGTTCTAGGCTCAGTGAGAGATCCTGTCTCACAAAATAAGGTAGAGAACAAGAGAGGTAGTCAGTCAACTTTGAGCTCTGACTTCCACCCATGCCCCATGTGTCCATGCCTCGTGTGTGTGTGTGTGTGTGTGTGTGTGTGTGTACTCGCATGCATGTACATTCGTGCAGACACACAATTTAATTCACAAAGCAGAGAGGGTAGTTCTTTAGTCAAGGAAATACAGTGGTATAGTATGCATATCCTTCGGTAATTACCTGACTTTATAGACCTCTAAGGCACATGCATGGATTGTCTCCAGTTTCTTTCTTGCCTCCCTGTGTGGGCTTCATCTGGGGACAGTGGTTTCTAATGTCACTTCCAAGGAACTCTAAGACTCCACCAGGTAGCTCTAAGGCTTGGCCTCCAGATAGCATTAAAGACTTCTGTTAATCAAGGACCCTGTTTGCCCCTAGTTGAAGGACTATTAACTAACTCCATAGAGGGTTTCTGCCTTTCAAAGAAGTAAAACACAAAGATAGTTTCTCCTCCATTCTTTTCTTCCCTTCTCCGTTAGAGATGAACAGTGGCAGGAATATGAGTGATGGTTTCACCAGCAGTGGCCCTTGACCGAGGAAACATTCCACCAAACCAGGAGCCATTATTCATAAAGGGTGCATGTGACCTGCTGCTTCCCTACACATACCAGTAATCCCCAGGAAAGAGTTAGCCTCGACTACCTCTGCAACTCATTTCTCAATAATTAGTTCCTCTGCTTCTGCTAGAATTCCCAGCTCGTCACTGACCTCAGATAAAAGGCTGCAAACAGTGACATCATTCTAGTACAACAGTACTGGGAAAACAATGCTGCCAGCAAACGAAGCTTCAACAGTGACTTTCAAGAGCTCCTACTCTAAACATTCCACAAGCTTCCGCAGCTACAAGGCTCTGGGTTTCCTAAATTCTCCTCATCCCTAGCCATGTCTAAATGAGGACAAAGAGTTAACAATGGCGGCAAGTGAGGCCTTTAGATCAATGGCAGCTCCACTATAAACCAATGGTTAATGAAACGTTGGTCAATCCGCCGTAAGAGCCTGCTCAATGGGTCTAAAATAGTTCTGTGGTTATGAGGGTTAAATGAGATAATGGACATCGGACTCCACCCAGCATGAGACACAGAGTAGGTTCTCATTAAACTCTAAGAGAAACCTTCTAATTAGTACGCTTGATTGTCTTTTAAAGAATGGAGGTGCCTGGGCTGGGGAGATGGCTCAAGGAGTAAAGACGCTTGCTGGCGATTCCCACAACCCACATGGCAGGAGAGAACCTACTACAGTTATGTGGGTGCCGGTGCCTCCCCTACACATACAAAATAAATAAATGTAATAAAAATAAAATTTAAAGGAGTGAAAGTGTTTACAATCAAATTCCAGTGATGACAGATAAGAAAGCAAAAGCTTTTAAGAATTTAAAGCTTCGATAGCTGTAAATAACACAACCTCACACACACAAATCAGTGCACAGTCTTGGGAAAACGCGGGGGCATTATCTGAATCAAGTTCCAACTTTAATGGCCACGCTGCTTGACTTGGATCCTTTGGGCAGGTGGTTAAAAGGACCCCCCCCTCCGCCCACCCAGGAATCAGTCCTCACACATCGGTTCTTTCAGGTAAAACAACAACAACAAAAATCTGCCCTTCCTTTACCAGTCCAATGACAAGTCGAAGCCCCACCCTGAGAAACTGTGTGACCCCACGTGTGGCTCGTGATGTCCCTGCGCGTAAGGGGACACAACCCACAAGGGGGTTAAGAGAGACCAAAATGACCCTGGCTCCCTTCCTCCCAAGCGTCGGGTGGTGGATGGATCAGCGGCCAGGGTTCGGTGGCCCCTGACCTTGGCCAGGGTCGGTGTGTTTGGCACCAGTCCCCTTCTTCGCCGCCTACCCGGCGCTGCGCACTGCCCCGCCCGCCCTCGCGGCCGGTGATTGACACTGGAGTGGGTACATACGGGTCCACGGCGCAGCAGGGCTGGCGTAGGGAAACATGGCTTTCCCTCTCCCGGCCTTCCGCCCGCCCGCATCACGCCCGCCCTGGGCACGGCCCGGGGGACACCCCCCGTCCCCGCCTGGCTCCTCTGCCTGCTTCCACGGTTTTTGATTTCCCCGGCCTGGGAGACTCCTCACGTCGCTTTCCCTCCACCCTGAGAACAACCTGGAGTTTGCCAAGAGGAAACTCCTGCGCGGGGGATGGACACCCGCCTGGTTGCTGCTGGCAAGAGGTGGAAACCATTCCAGCCAGGAGTTGATGGAGAGGGAGGACACGTCCCTGGACGGAAAGTAACACTCGGAGCTCGGAGCGGGGCCAGTGAAGTCTGCAACAGGCACCTGCAGAAGGAGCGGGCAGCCGTGGTGCCCAGTGCCAGAGTTACTATGCGCATCGCTGCGTTCATCGCAGCGCCGGGGGCTTGCTCCGAGCACACTCGAGGGCCTGCGAGCAATTTTTTTTCAGCAGGTCTTACCTTTCTCTTCGGCATAATGACTATGTTGGTGCAGCAAAAAGTAAAGCAACGGGCTGGACCGCCTGGCACGCCACTGGATGCTGCCTAGCCGCTGCAGCTGCTCCCGCAATGGGCTCGGCTAGCCCGGCCTCTCCGACCTGCACCTTCGCTTCCTCCCCCGGCGCTCCACTCGCTCGCATCCCGGTCCCCCAATGGCGAGCCCCGCCAGCCGGCCGCGAGGCCCCATTGGCTGAGGGAACGTTCTAAATTCCACGAGGACACGCCCACCCCTGCTCACCCGGTACGCGCAGTTGTAGTTTCTACTTCACTGGAAAAAAAAAAAAAATCTGCCTGGCGACTGAGCATGCCCAGTTCAACTAGTAGCCTTCAGGCCACTATCCTGGAGTTTCATTGTTTCATGCGCCTTCTGTGGAATAGGGCAGTGTGCACCTTCATAGAAAAGAAGAGTTAAGTATTGCCATGTTAACTCTATAATGTAAATAGAGACACCGGGCACCCTGTACACTTGTAAAAGCTTGTAATGGGTGTTCTCGGTGCAGATCTGTACAGGGTAGGAAGGTCTTCTACTCAGGAAGTCTTAACAGTTTCTAAGGCTCTCAGTCCGACCTCTAGCAAATACAAAAATGCCTTAGTCTAATTGTGGGTTTTTTAATTATTATTTTAATCTGTGATTAGCAGTCATATACGAGTTCAGCCAATTAGTCACCTCTGTGACTAATGGTTAGAGTGTGTTGTGGGAATTAGGAAGAAATCAAGAAAGGTAGGAACAAATTTATATTTATGTACATTTAAACAACATCTGCCAAGTTACCTTTCATGTATAGTGTAATGTTTCTCAAAGTTCTATAAAGAATTGCGAAATGCATTTCTGAACTTTACCAGTTTTATCCTGGTGATACACCTGGGTGGTGGGGTTGGGGGTGAATTTTAGGTCAACACTGTTTATAAGCATAGGCACAAAGACACAGCCAAAATTTTAGCAAATCAATTTCAACACCATTAAGAAGATAATACATAACCAGGGAAGTTGGCCCTGAGAACACAGAATTTGTTCAACATCTGAATATCAATCAGTGTAATGAGCTCATTACTATAATAAATAAGGAATGTGATCATATTAACTGCTGCAGGAAAAAATGCTAGTGGATGGATGAGCAAGTCATGATAAATCCGTACAATGGAGTATTGTCTGCTATAATGAGCTATCTCTGCTCAGATAAATAGCAAAAACAAAATACAAAATGAAAGTCAATACGAGACACTACAACGAGTGATTTCATTTATACAAAAACTACAGGAGAAGCAAAACTAAGCAAAGTTGGCCTCAGAATCATTCACAAGGCAAAAGTCTCATCGTAGGAAACTGCACTGAAGAATTACACAACATAGGGTGAAACCAACCTTGCTTGCCCAGAGGCTTCATGGAAGGATGAAAGAGTTATCAGATGATTCACTTTAGTGCGGGCTTCATCTTTTTCTTGTTCATTTTCAGAATGAATGAATTGGAAGCCTTGCAAACCAGAGAGGTAATGAGCAACTTCCTTTTTTGGTGAGTCTTCACAAACTCGTGGTGTATCTTGATCTTTTTCTGTCACTACCTGGCATGTTTTCGAGGTCCTGCTGCTTTTGTTTTCTTAGTGCTCATAGTTTCCCATCTTCAGTCAGAGAGAATCTTCCTTTGGACATTGTCCCAGTTGCCTTTGATGGATGCCTTACTCTTAGAAACTCAGTTGGATGACATATTCAAAAGAACTAAGGGAAGACCGATTCATTGCTTTACAGTTGCGTGAAAACCTAGAGGTTCATAATTTTACAACTAAACAAATATTTATAAGGGAACATGTCTTGGAAGAGTGTTAATTTGCCAAGTTCTTGGTGGTTGAAGAAGAAGGAGAAGAAGAAAAATGCCAGGGAAGATATTTTTAGTAAGACATGTGGGGAAGATGCTGGGTAATGTAAGAATGCTATCTGGGTTGAAGTGTGCTTTTGTTTTTGGCAAGTACTTTGCCACTGAGCTACATTCCCAGCCCTGTCGTTTTTCTTTATGGAGATTCAAGGGTGACAGTGTTAGGAATAAGGTGACTTTCCAAACCCTCTGGTAATGAAAAGGGACTCATAAAGTTGGTTTCTTTCACTGATATTTTTTTAAGACCACATACTTAAATAAGAGTAGCAAATAAAATTACGATCACTATTTAGTGCACGCAATAAAATCATTGTGAAGAAAATTAGGCTTGCTAGCTGGATAAAGGAAGCTGGCTGTGGGGCTGGAGAGATGGCTCAGCCCTCGCACAGAGAACCCAGGTTTGAGTCCCAGCACCTACCTGGCGGGCGGCCCACAACCATTCACAACTCCAGATCCAGGGGACCGGACACCCTTCTCTGACTTCAAGGGCATCAAGGATACAGCCCACAGGCAAAACACTCACAAGTAACATAAAAGGAATAAATAATTTTTAATGCCACTTATGAAAAGCCCTGAGTGTTTGAGCCTCTCAGTTCGTTTACAAATACTGAAAACAACTTCAGTTGAAAACAGCAGTGGCCCTTTCCTTTGATGTGGGTGGCACCTGCCTAAGCAGGACAAGGGAACTGTGTACCCTCCCTACCGCCGCACCGCACCATAGGCCTTTATTACCCTTCAAGACTGGGGAAATCAGTGATGAGGGTAAGAGGAGGAGGTAAAGAGAATGAAGTGATGGGCAGCTAGAATTTCAGGGTAAGAGAGAAAGAGGCCTGCACTTGCCAAGTGTGGGGCAGCAGAGGATTTGAAGCTGAGAGGAGGCGAGCATGCCTCTGTGGCTGGGTGTGTTCCAGAGAGCGTTTTCAATGCTTTTCTGAATGACCAACATCTAAGACAGTAAAAGCTGCTCAACAGGACGCAGAGACCTCATGAGCTCAGACAGAGGACAGGCAAATCAAGGGAGTTGCTGTTTGGAGAAGAAGGGAAAATTAGGAAACAAACTTCAATTGTACTCCCACCCCCCTCTTCTTCTTTCCCATTCAAACTTGTTGAAACAGTAAATTCCCTGACCTCAGCCTTTTTCAAACAGCAAAACTACTTATAGCTTCATGACTGTCATCAAGGCAGAGGGGAGAGAAAGAAGCAGAGATGATGAGAAAGGGAAAATAAAGGAAAGGTCCTAACAGGAAACAAATGCATTGCTCCTGGTAGAGTTAAGTAATGCTTTATAAGATGATTATTTCCATTGGGAGATGCCCCTTGGGACAATCATATTAAGTGAATTAAGCCAATCTCAGAAAGACCTGTATCATATGTTTTCACTCCTAGTTTTCATACAGATATGTGTGTGTATATATGGCATGACAGTAGAAAAGAAACTGTCTAGAGAAGCCGAGAGGACTAGTGGGATGGAGAAGTAAGAAATGGGCAGGTGAGGAGCGTGAAGAGGTGTGCTCAGTGTACAATATATTCTCCTATGGAAATTTCCTTATGTAACAGTGCCATGTATCAATAGACTCCATAGAATTTTAAGAAATTAAAAATAAAATAAGATCAGTTCCATTTTCCATATAGTTGCACACAAAAACACACATGCTGTGTGTGTGTGTGTGTGTACACATGTGTATGTACATTGGGTATATCTGTGTGTTGTAACATAAAATGTATTTCTATTATTGGTAACAAATATTTAACAGCAGTGCACACTTCTAATGAAGCTTGTGGGTTTTCAGGGCTCTAATAATTTGCCTCTGGAACAAATTTGCTCAATCTTCGAATCATAGAGGGAAACTTTTAAAGGAAGTTTGAAAGGAAAAGATTATTTTGCAAATCCCCTCCCCACCTTTCCTTTCCCGTGTAAGGCAGGATCAGGCAGTTTCTCTCCAGCTTTTGTTGGAGAAGTCAGTTCTGCAGTTCGTAGTATTGTTGCTTCCCATGGCTCTAATTCCAGATGATATCAAGGTCTTTAGTTAATAGGGCCAAGAATGCCAAGGTGAATTTGAGTGTAACAACTACAACAAAAACTTCCAAGAACAAGCAGAAGGTGAGAAGGGAGCACTCTAGGGGGCTAATGAGGGAGCAATAACAAGAAGACATGTATCATATGCTCTTTTTTATAGAAGGAACCCATCCATAAGTACAGATATGACATGACAAATAAGAATATTCTGTTCCATTTGTGTCTTACTGGTAAATCCTCTAATTTGTTGACATGCTAACTTAGAGAGAGCCTAAAGCCACTGAGGTATTCTAAGAGCCACTGACCCTAAATCAAATGAGTAGCTTGCAAACAGTACAGATTCCTCAACTCCAACTCTGACACACTAACTCCACTCTTACAACTGGGCCTGGGAGTCTGCGTTTCAGATAAACTTCCTAGCTCTAGAATTTGAGACTTCCAGACTAGGTCTATGTTCTCAAAACATATTTACCAAATGCTAGGACAGTTGTTCCTCATTCCAGGACCATGATACAGCATCTGTGAATGTTTCTTTATGAAACTGTGTCTCATCTGGTATACACTAAGTCTTCTCTGTGAGATGGTGTCTCATCTGGTATACACTAAGTCATCTCTATGACATTGTATCTGCCTGGTATACAATAAGTCATCTCTATGATATTTTATCTGTCTGGTATACACTAAGTCATTTCTAGACAAGTTCTTGAAGCTAATACAATGTCGACACTCTGAAGATAGCTGTTCTGGGGGATGGTTTAGGATATCATAAGTTGTACGGGTGAGCTCCACAAAGCTATCCACCCATAAGGGCGGAGATAGGGAAATTTAGCTAAAGAAGTGTACATCAAATCCTCTTTACTTCAATGTTTCTGCTAAGTAGGAACACAATCCTGTGTGTGAAGTTGTCCCTGTAGACCTCACATTGTGTCCATTTTCCAGCTTGCCTTGGTACTGATTTTTTCCACACTCTTCCTCTTCCTTAGCTTTGAGACACCTGAAGAGGAATTAACCCTGTACATGTCCAGATTAAAGCACCTCTTTCTTCCCATGAACCACTCAAGGTGTCTCCTGGACCCCATGTCCTCAAAGAGTTCCTAACCCCAAACTCCTACAAGCCATACCTTTTCATAGTATTTTCAATTGTATAAATACCTGTAGGTCTTAGCAGCAAGAGAGACCAGGGTTCCCTGTGACCCTCTGACAGGAAATTTTTTCCCAACCTGCCTCAAGTGTGTTTTAAACATCTCTCCCATCTCCAAGACCTTTTAGGTCCAAT